CGAAAATCACGGTTTTATAAGATTTGGACAAAAATTGACTGAGTTCTGATCTATACACTCTTGATGTTACGCGGTCAATATATGTACCAGTCAATAAGATATACAAAAATGTAAATTTCAGTCGATTGTCAGCCATTTTCACCATGTTCAAGAGTCTGGAGCTCGGCTCTCATGTGTCTGATTGTTTTGAAAGTTCCGAAGAATATGAAACAGACGTAGATTGAAAATTTTACATTCACAGAATTTTTTGAAAACGTTTAGATTTTCAGCTATTCGCCGATTTTTGAAGGATACCCTTTCTCGCAATTTCTCGCTTAAAAATGACAAAAAAATTGTTGAAAATCGACTAATGATGGAATTTGATCAATTTTGGATTTTGTACTACTCGTGGACAAGTCGAGGCGCGAAGTTTGAATTTTCGGGTTACAAAGCAGCTCGCGAACTTGATTTTACAGTGTAAAATGGCTAGAAATTTTAAAAAATCAAATTTAAGAAAAAATTGAAGATTTCGTGTTTTGTATTCCTCGTGAACAAGTGAACGCGCAAAATTTGAATTTTCAGGATTTAAAAACGATTTTCTATGAAAATATGCCATGGTTACGTTCATTTCAAATCTTGAAACACGCCAAACACAAAAATCAAATTTTCACAAGATTTGAACGAAAATTGATCGAGTTATGCTCAAAATACTTTACGCAGTCGAATTTGTCTAAATAGCTAGATGCGGTTTTCTCAAAATTTTCGAATTTTTGAAGACTCACAAACTTCCGGAATCGGCGAAAATCGACTGATTGGAGCTGGATTCGGATCGACGACTCCACAAGTGCGTCCAGTGAAGCCCAAATCGCAGTCGCACGACCGTTGAACTGGATTCTTTTGAAAACATCTACCATTTGAATTACACAACTCTTCGCATTTGTAGAGATCCACGTAGAGCATTCTGATTCTGAAAAATCAATGTTAGAACTGCATATTTTTCAAAATTTCAGTCTTTCAGATTTTTTCATTTTTCAGCTATTAAAAACGCTGTTTTTGAGAATTCGGAACGAAAAATCCTTTTTTAGTAACTGAAATTCAAAAATTTCAGACAAATTTCAAAAAATTGAAAAAGAGCGAAACCGAAAAACACTAACTTTTAGGCTCCGACTCCAAAAAATTCAATCAAGTGAAAGTGAAAAAAATTCTCATAAAACTGACAAAAGGATCCGCCCCCTTTTACCCCAAATTAGCCAAAAAGAGCAATCTGGGAGAATATAGGGTTGGAAAA